GCACGATTTCGCAGATCACGGTTTCCTCGCCGGCAACCGCCACAGTACCACTCTCTCCTACTTCATCACCCACCCAGCCAGCACTGATGACAACTACCTCAACTTCAACAACGCTGGCCCCGGTGCCGATCTCGTTCGACGTCGTCGTCCTCATCGACGTCAGCCAAAGTGCATCCACGAGATATGATGACGTGAGTGGCGCCCATCATTCTCGCGTGGGAAGGTTTGAAAAACGCGTCTGAGGGAAATTTACTGAATTGACAAGGAGGATAATCCGCATAAGTAGCAAATTGGGTAGACCGCGTTAGAGCGAACACCTCACGAAGGAGGTCCCTCTAGACATGGAGCGTTTTCGAAGAGCCACGTATAAACGGAATCCATTTTTTCTGAAAGGCTTCGAAAGTACTAAAATTCAATGAACGGTCTATTGTTCGACTCCTCGCGGTAACAAAATTTTACAATTATTGGATTTCCAATTTCTTGTATTCTCCAACCTATGGGTTATTATACCGCAAAAAAAGTCGTTTCTCTAGAACAGCAGCTGGTCATCACCAAGCTGTTCGGCCTATGGGGATATCTTGCACTTTCGCTGGTTTCTATTGTTGACTCATGTAAAAGCAAGTGGCACGATTAATTCCAAGACGTGCAGGATTAGTAGGCCTAACAGGACAGAATTCTGCACCCCTGAGCAGGCGCTACGTGCTCCATTTCTAAGAAAGTACCTTTATGGCACCCTATCAAGCTGCAGCATACCGACCCCGACGCCCACCGCGCCCGCCCGTACCGTAGCGTTATTGGCACACTGCCAAGGGGAACTCGTCCGAAACTGCTTTCTAAGTCCTGTAGAACACAAGCTTTTTTGCAGGTTTTTACCATTTCACTTCCTTCCATTTCATTTCCTTTTTCACCATTCCCCCACTATACAGCTCCCCCGCTACCATTTCAGACCGAGTATGGAATTATCGTGCCCTATGCCTATGAAGAACAGTTCTCACTTTGGTGAAACCTGTGAACTCCTGTGAAGCTGCGGAATGATAGGAGTGAGCCTTTTTGGTCACAGGAATACACAGTTCTTCACAAGGTAGCCTGTAAATGCTTAGTTGCGAACTGCTCCGTACCCCCACAAACCGAACTGCACCCGACCAGGACACTTATTTTAGCGCCTGCGCCATTAGTCTATGATCGTGACGAGTTGTGAAGTTGCAGCAGTTCAGTAGTGCTTATTTATGAGCTATTATTCCATACGAGATGCCCTACTTTTGTCCTTCTGGAAGATATCAAAAACGCGATACTCTGTGTATTGCAAAATAGTACTCACGAGGGGGCCTAGCCATGAGGTCCACAACGGTGTCAATAAGAGCCTGATCCACTTAATACTACCCCGTTGAGCTACCTTTCATGAACTTAGCAACTCTGAGTTGGGCTTGGGGGGGGGAAGGGCGCGAATTGTCAGTCAGCGAAGCTTGTACAGCCACCTTGTGAAGAGCTGTAAACTCCTGTAACCAAAGTGGCTCACTTGTACCATAGTGTAGCTTCCTATGAGTTCACAGATTTACCTAATAGTTGCGAAATACTACCAAATCAAGGAGTACTAGCGAAAGTGCAAAATGCTTCCCCCAAGCCGAACAGCGCCCAAATCTGGATGAACTGTAGATACTTAATAATTTCAGATGGCACAATTCGTGGTGACGTTGCTTTCAACCTACTCTGTTTCTCAAAGCTATACTCGAGTAGCAGTGATACCAGTGTTCGGCGACTCAGCCTTTGGTCCAATGGTGATCGCGAATCTGAATGCCATCAACTCCAACACCGTACTGAAGAGCTATCCTTGATCAGGCCAAGGATTACAACGATTTTGACACTCAGGGACAAGCTTTGGCACAGTACGTTACGCTCAGAACCGCTTGCTTTCTGATCACATTCAGTCCATATTGTAGACAAACATTACAGAGCCCTGTACACTGCGATAAATCCCAATTTCAAAAGAGCCGGCTATCGATCCGATATCAGTAATCATCTGATTCTCTACGTCACAGCTACTTCTGGGTAACTCCTTTTACTTTTTTATAGCTGTACAAATATCACATTTACAACAAACTACGTTGAGGGTAAGTTCAGCACAAAGCAAAAAAAACGCTATACGGGCTCCCTTTCAGGAGTGAGCCATGCATACAACTTCCATTAGGAATGATATAGTGCGCGCCTTACCGTACCGCAGAAATCAGCGATCATAGCTTTGAAGGCACAGTCCACGTTGACCATATGGGCGGGGTCAGATCTACCATTATAGCTCCCGTGCTTTTCAGCCACTCCTCCTGGTATGGCAGAGTGGCGCGAAAGGCGCAGTGGTAGGTCTGACTCCGCCCATGCAATCAGCGTGGACGGTGCCAGTGAGTAGTCTATGGGGTCGTTCCTATTGTTCTCGAAGTGTTCAAACGCGACTTAATTCAGGTTCACAGACCAACCCCAAACAGTTGCTCAACAAATACTT